TGAAAATAACATGCAATTCCATAAGCACCTTTACCATTTGCACTTGAGAGCTTTTCACAAGGGAAACGTAACGATGTAGAAATGGGCCCTCCATCAAGGAAACTTCCTCTCCATCCTTCTAGGAAGATGGGACTGACTTGAAATAACCATAATAAGTCATTCTACTCCTCCATTCTGCCTTGGTTAGACCACACCTGGAATATTGTGTCCAATTCTGGGCACCACAATTGAAGAGAGATATTGACAAGCTGGAACGTGTCCAGAGGAGGGTGGCTAAAATGACCAAGGGTCTGGAGAACAAGCCCTATGAGGAGCGGCTTAAAGAGCTGGGCATGTTTAGCCTGAAGAAGAGGAAGCTGAGAACAGACATGATAGCCACGTATAAATATGTGAGAGGAAATCATAGGAGGGAGCAAACTTCTTTCTGCTGCTCTGGAGACTGGGACGTGGAGCAATGGCTTCAAACTACAAGAAAGGAGATTCTATCTAAACATTAGGAAGAACTTCCTGACTGTGAGTGCTGTTCAGCAGTGGAACTCTCTGCCCAGGAATGTGGTGGAGGCTCCTTCTTTGGAAGCTTTTAAACCAGTGGTTCTCAACCTGGGATCCCCAGATGTTTTTGGCCTACAACTCCCAGAAGTCCCATCCAGTTTACCAGCCATTAGGATTTCTGGGAGTTGAAGGCCAAAAACATCTGGGGACCCCAGGTTGAGAACCAATGTTAAGCAGAGGCTGGATGACCATCTGTCAGGGGTGCTTTGAATGCAATTTTCCTGCTTCTTGGCAAGGGGTTGGACTGGATGGCCCATGAGGTCTCTTCCAACTCTAGGATTCTATGATTTTATAAACACACACACACACTTGCACTTGACTGAAGATTCTCTTTCAGGCACCAAGGAAATGAGCATGAGATGGGAGAACGAGGAAGCAAAGTGCCATAGAAACCATCACACAGCAACCCTACTGCATTCCCGAAGGATCTAGATTCCCTCACTTGCCATCCCATGATCAGAAGACAAAACATCCCTACATCTTCCATGGCCATTCCCACAATCACAGCATCCATCCAATGTGATCTGCAGCAAAAGCTTGGCTCCTGGCAGAAAGGGGAAGACAGGGRTGGGATACAGGTTTCCTTAGGGTGGGATCGTGGATTTGGGGAAGGGAAAGAGAAGAGACCCACCATCCTCCTCCAAAAAGCAGCCTCCTCGAAATGCTTTGGGTGTTTTTCACCTGGCAAAGTGGCTTGTCTTACAAACAGGTTMCGACAAGATTCRCTGCCAGGAAGATGCATACCTTCCCCGCCCCCAGAGACACACGCAGACATAAAAAGCCAGTTCAACCACAGMGGAGGAGAAAACCCTTGCCTACTCAGCACCGTGTATCCGAGTCCCCAAAAACCACAACYCCAGACGAAGAGAGAGGACATCATGGATGAAGGTTGTATCATAGAGGAAMGGAAAAAGGGACTTCTCCCACAATAGAAGGCCATAGTGTTGGCCAAATTCCCAAGTTCATTGCTGTAGGGGAACAATATCTATTTCTAAGACCGTAGTTTCAGAAAAAAGGAAAGATTTGGGTGCTTTTCTCAGCCTCAGAGAGGGAGGGCCACCCTAAAATGGCACCGATTTTGCCCAAAGCTGGAAACACAGATACACAAATCTCTAGAGAAATCCCTTTCCTCCTCTTCTTAGCCCAAACACCATCTGCCTTGTAGCAGAGTGTGCGGTTTTGAGGCATACACACCCCTTTACACACACACACCCCTCCCCATCACCACGCAAAAAAGTCCTATTCGATACATCTCCTCAAACATGACAATGAACCAGGTGAAAGATAAACCGGAAAGGATCCAACGCAGCAAGGAAGGTGAAAAGATCACCTTCGCCTGGTAAGGCAAGATCTTCACCTTTCTTTAAACCGCCAGCATATTTTGCTAGCTCGAATTCACACAAAATAATACAACGTTAGAAGCGAAAGCAAAGATGTGAGGCAGGCATCTTTGCAAGGTCCTTCCAAAGCTCAGCTCAGCTCAGGAGGGAGGAAAGCAGACAGGGTAGGTTTGTGAGTGTGTGGTGTGTGCATTTCAAACTAAGGAAAGGGAGGGTAATCCTGGATTTATGAGTCCTCTATCTATTAAGGAGGTTGCCTCCGACACAAACAGGGAGGGAGGGAGGGAGGCGGGAGAAGAAGCCCTGCATTGTTAATAAGCCCAGTCCTTCTGCTACAGGCACAGCCACACACTCACACACATGTCCTTTCCGCCAATGTCAAAATAACAGTCTGGATGCTCCCTAAGCTTGGGCTGCTTTCTGATTTTCCACCCAGGAGGCTTAGGCAAAAGCTGGAGGGATCGGGAGGGCTGAAACAAGGTGTAAAAATGCCCCCAAATTGAACACATGGGGGATATAGGGGAGGCAAGCAAAGGAGAGAGGGAAAGGTGCATAAAAAATGCCCAACGATTTGGAATATATTTATATAAATACATATTTGGGAAGATATCCATGCCCTTGCCACCAGCTCAAAGGGGAGAATGCCCTTCCGGCATCAGCCCAGGAAGCACCAGAAGCACATCTAACTACCTATATACCCTTTGGATCTCAGAAAGGCGGTCAAGAAGGGCCCAATCCGAGGAAGCCCCTCAAGGACAACACACAATGGTTTGCAGGAGGGAAAGTCTTTTCTTGCCTTCCCCAGTGGATCAAGGGTTTCCTCACCTCCTTGTTCAGGGTCTGATCCTGGGAAAGGTTTACTGGGAAGTAAGTCCCAAGGTGGGTTGGTTCTTCAAGCCTCCCCATGAACCAGGACTTCAAAACCCACCCACAAAGGTTTCTACTCCCAAACAACCCCGAATCTAGAAACAAGAAGCAAGCAGCTCTCCTGCCACGCTGCCTTGGAGTGGGAATCCCCCTGCCAACTGAGAAAGGGGCAAAAGCACTACTTATTATTATCAGAAAGGATGGATGTAGAGGAAACCCACCCAAGATCGCACCAGGGCAGCCAAGTACCCAAAAAATACAACCCAAATGCACAGAGCATAATAATAATAATAATAATAATAATAATAATAATAATAATAATAATAATAATAGCATGAAATGATAAGTTTAATAATAGTTGCAATAAATTAGTAATACTATTGAAATACTGAAATAATAATAATTTAATAATAATAATAAAATACTAATATAATTGAAATAATCATAACACATTAAAATGGCACAAAATAATAGTTTAATAGTAATTAAAATAAATTAGTAATACTATTGAAATACTAAAATAATAATATTTTAATAATAATAAAAATACTAATAAAATTAAAATAATCATAACACACTAAAATGGCACAAAATAATAGTTTAATAGTAATTTAAATAATTAGTGATACTATTGAAATACTAAAATAATAATAATTTAATAATAATAAAAATATTATTAAAATTAAAATAATCATAATAAATTAATAATAGCACAAAATAATAACAGTTTAATAATAATTACAATAAGTTAGTAATACTATTGAACTAATGAAATAATATTTCAATAATAGTAATAAAATATTAATACAATAATATAATAAATTAATAACATTTTAATAATAAGAGCACAGATTAATAATAATTACAATAAATTAGTAGTATTATTGAAATACTGAAATAATATTTTAATAATAATAAAAATAATCATAATAAAATAAAAATAAATATAATAAATAATAACTATTTAATAATAATAATTGTTAATAATTAAAATAAAGGAGTAATACTGTTGAAATATTGCAGTAATATTGTAATAATAATAAAATACTGTAATAATAATAAATAATATAATAATAATTATATATAATATATATAACAATTTATATATAATAATAATAAATATAATATAATTTTATATATATAATGTATATGTATAAAATAATAATAAATAATATAATAATAAAATATAATAAATAAAAATAATAATCCTAATAAATTAATAATAGCACAAAATAACTTTAATAATAATTACAATGTACAATAAATTAATAATAACACAAAATAATAATCCAAATAATAATAACAAACATAATAAAATAATAGCATAAATAATTATATTTAATAATAATAATAAATTTATAATACTACTAAAATATTGAAATAATATTTTAACAACAACAACATCACAATGATGATGAGTAGGATGAAGCTATTTTACAATAACAATAATATAACAGTATTTAATAATAGTATTTAATACTAAATAAAATTAAAATCATCGTAATAAATTAATAATAACACAAAATAATAATCCAAATAATAACAAATATAATAAAATAATAACATAAATAATTATATTTAATAATAGATTTATAATACTACTAAAATATTGAAATACAATTAAAATCATCATCATAAGTTAATAATAGCACAAAATAATAATCCAAATAATAATAACAAACAATAAAATCGTAACATAAATAATTATATTTAATAATAATAATTTTATAATACTACTAAAATATTGAAATACAATTAAAATTATCAAACATAATAAAATAATAGCATAAATAATTATATTTAATAATAACAAATTTATAATATTAGTAAAATATTGAAATAATATTTTAATAACAACAACATGACATTGATGGAGAGTAGGATGAAGCTGGAGAAGGAGGGGAAATAAATCTATTTTCTCTCCTGCGTCCCCCTAAATGTCATGTTGACCCCCTTCTGTCCCTTCAGCTTGAAGGCAGGGGACCCATTCCCCCCTGACTTCAGCCTCTGGGCCCCCCAAAAGAGGCTCTTTGCCCCAACTCACCCAACAGCACAATGATGATGAGTAGGATGAAGCTGGGGAAGGACGGGAAAGAAATCTATTTTTCCCCCTTGTCCCCCGAAATGCCATGTTGACCCCCTTCTGTCTCTACAGCTTGAAGGCAGGAGACCCTTTCCCCCCTTTCCCCGCTGACTTCGGCCTCTGGGCCCCCCAAAAGGGGTCTCTTAGCCCCAACTCACCCATAGTCTCCCCGGAGCCGGACTGGCTCTCCTTTCCTTCCCTCTTTCTCTTTCTCTCTCTCGCCTTGGATTTCTCCCCCGACGGTTGAAGTCCTTGCCTTGGCGGGGCGCTTCGGAGGCGCCAACAGAAAGAGAGACGGGGCTTTGGGGCGTGGATCTGTGGGGAGGGGGCCCGGGGAGGGGGTGTGGATCTGGGGGGAGCCTAGATCCGGTTTTCCCCAGTCCTTGGAGAGGGGAGCCCCCCAAAGCCGGGCTCTGCGCGCTGCTGCTGCTCCTGCTGCTCCTCCTCCTTCTGTCGCGCGTTTGGATGCAGGAAAGCCATGGCGCTGGGAAATGTCAGAAATGGGGGGAGGAGAAAGAGAGAGAAGGAGGCAGGGAGGGGGGAGAAAGAGAGAAAGAGGGAGGGAGAGAAGGAGGAGGGACGCACAAGAGAGAGGAGGAGGAGGAGGAGGAAAAGAGAGCACGGCAAGGAGAAAGACAACTTGGAGGAAGAGATTCCAGATCTATTTTGTATATTGGGGGGGGGGGGGTTCTCTCTTCTCTCCCTCCCCAAGGATGCCCCCTTTCAATACTAACTATTGCCACGATCTCTAATCATCATTAATCGTTGTCTTTTTGGAGAGGAATCGTCTCAAAGGCGCAAAAGGGAGAAGAAAGCCTTGCTGGGGAATTTAAGGAAGGCAGAGATAGATAGATAGATAGGTAGATAGATAGGTAGGTAGGTAGATAGATAGATAGATAGATAGATAGATAGAAGGGGGGAGTTTAAAGAGGAAGGAAAAAGGGGAGGAAAAAGCAATATTGCCGCGCGTCCAGCTGCCCTTCTCGTTTCCTTGAGCCAAAAGGGGAGCGGCTTTTCCTGGTTGGGCCCCCTTCAAAGCAGGTAAAGGGGGAGAAGGGAAGGGGAAAGGGTTCAAGGGGGTCCCTGGCTTGGTCCGAGACAAAAAGGAGCCTCTCCAGTTGGGGTTTTCTGCTTCTTTTCGGGGCGCCTTCCTCCGCCTTCTGCTCCGGGCTGCGGCTCTCTTCGCGGCTCTCCGGCGCCGCCTGGCTGCCCTTTTGCAACAGCGCTCTTTGTGGACAAGGGAGGGAAGGCACCTTACTTTTAAAAAAAAAAAAATCCAGCACAGGATGAAAAGGTAAAGGCTTCCCTTTGATATTAAGTCTAGTCGTGTCCGACTCTAAGAGGGTTGGTGCTCAGCTCCATATATAAGCCGAAGAGCCAGCGTTGTCCGTAGACACCTCCAAGATCATGTGGCCGGCATGATTTATGGAGCACCATTACCAGGCATGTAGCGGGGGGGGGGGGGGGGGGGGGGGGGGCTTCAGCCCCCCCCCCCTGAAATTCTCATGGTGGTTCGCGAAAAGGCCTTACTGGTGCATTATTTAAACTGTTATGTTTATTCATATCATGATCTGATCACCATACTCAATATATCCCATATGCATGGGGTATTGGGGTAATGATACAAAAGGTTTGCTAGGCTAGACCCTCTTTCACTCAGACTCAGCCCCCCCCCAAACTCAGCCCCCCTGACCCCCCCTTGAAAAAAATTCACCCCCCCCCCCCCGAAACGAAATCCTGGCTACGGGCCTGTTACTGGGATTATTTGGAGCTGACTTGATCTTCTACAGATTTTTGGGTATCAGCCAGCACATCAACGACTTAAATCTAGAAATAGTTTTCTACAGAGACACTCGCTGGAACACCTCAGCAAGCAAGAGTCCAAAAGTGGCAGGCTCAAACCCAGAACCTCAACCAATGGCTGATACCAAATGAGAGACTCCCCCTGGGCACACAGAGGACTGGGCGACTTGGAAGGCGCTGAACAGATTGCGCTCTGGCACCACGAGATGCAGAGCCAATCTTAAGAAATGGGGCTACAAAGTGGAATCCACGACATGCGAGTGTGGAGAAGAGCAAACCACTGACCACCTGCTGCAATGCACCCTGAGCCCTGCCACATGCACAATCGAGGACCTTCTTGCGGCAACACCAGAAGCACTCCAAGTGGCCAGATACTGGTCAAAGGACATTTAATCAGCTACCAAGTTTGCAAACTTTGTGGGTTTTTATCTGTTTGTTTTTTTTGTTCTGTTAGAAATGCAATACAATGTTCTGGTTGCGGATGACACAATAAATAAATATTAGCCGAAGAGCCAGCATGGACCATAGACACCCCCAAGATCATGTGGCCGGCATGACTTCATGGAGCACCATTACCTTCCCACAAGAGCGATACCCTTCCCGTACCTTGGGAAGTCTAACTTGGCCACGGTGGTCCATGCTTTGGTTACATCCCATTTAGATTACTGCAACGCTCTCTACATGGGTTGCCTCTGAAGACTGCCCGGAAGCTTCAATTAGTCCAACATGCGGCAGCCAGACTACTAACAAGAGCGGGGTACAGGGAGCATACTACTCCTCTGTTGCACCAGCTCCACTGGCTGCCAGTTAGCTTCCGAGCACAATTCAAAGTGCTGGTCTTAACCTATAAAGCCCTAAATGACTCCGGCCCAATTTACCTGTCTGAACGTATCCTTCCCTATGAACCATCAAGATTGCTAAGATCATCTGGAGGGTCCCTGCTCTCAGTTCCACTGGCCTCACAAGCGCATCTGGTGGGGATGAGGGACAGGACCTTCTTGGTGGTGGCCCCTCGACTCTGGAGATCAGAACTGCCCCTTCTATCTTGACGTTCAGAAGACAGGTGAAAACTTGGCTCTGGAAATTGGCATTCGACGAATGAGCCACGATCCCATGATATGGGTGAATGATGATGAACAACAATTTTTTGATGACGACTGACCATTATAATATAAAATATGACTGTATTTTGCTATTTTAATGTTTTAATGTTTTAGTGTGATTTAGAATTTGATGTTTTTAATAGCTGTCTGTAATATTGATGTTGGAAACCGGCCTGAGTCCCTCGATAGAGGTGAGAAGACTGGTACACAAAACTGCTAAATAAATAAATAAATAAATACTTATTTATCTAATAATAATAATAATAATAATAATAATAATAATAATACTTACTACTTACTTCACCCAACCTTTTTAACTTGTATGCAGAACACATCATGCGATGTGCGGGGCTTGATGAATGCAAAGCTGGGGTGAAAATTGCTGGAAGAAACATTAACAACCTCAGATATGCAGATGACACCACTCTGATGGCCGAAAGCGAGGAGGAGCTGAGGAGCCTTCTAATCAAGGTGAAAGAAGAAAGCGCAAAAGCTGGGTTGCAGCTAACATCAAAAAAACCAAGATTATGGCAACAAGAATGATTGACAACTGGGAAATAGAGGGAGAAAATGTGGAGGCCGTGACAGACTTTGTATTTCTAGGTGCAAAGATTACTGCAGACGCAGACTGTGGCCAGGAAATCAGAAGACGCTTACTTCTTGGGAGGAGAGCAATGTCCAGTCTCAATAAAATAGTAAAGAGTAGAGACATCACACTGGCGATGAAGATCCGCATAGTCAAATAATTGGATTCCCAAAAATCACCTATGGATGTGAGAGCTGGACCATAGGGAAGGCTGAGCGAAGGAAGATAAATGCTTTTGAACTGTGGTGTTGGAGGAAAGTTCTGAGAGTGCCTTGGACTGCAAGAAGCTCCAACTAGTCCATACTTCAGGAAATAAAGCCCGACTGCTCATTGGAGGGAAGGATATTAGAGGCAAAGATGAAGTCCTTTGGCCACATCATGAGGAGACAGGAAAGCTTAGAGAAAACAATGATGCTGGGGAAAATGGAAGGAAAAAGGAAGAGGCCCGACAAAGGGCAAGATGGGTGGATGGTATCCTTGAAGTGACTGGCTTGACCTTGAAGGAGCTGGGGTGGTGACGGCCAACAGGGAGCTCTGGCGTGGGCTGGTCCATGAGGTCACAAAGAGTCGGAAACAATGGAATGAATGAACAACAAACTACTTACTTAGGCAATCCCTCGTTGTCCGAGTAGGATAGTCTACCAAAATCAGTGTCAAAATGCCTCTCGCATATCCTTGAAGCTTAACATCTAAATGCAGTTAAAAGCTATACTTATTAGTCTGCACTCTAACAAGTTACATTATTTTTCAGAGGTGTTATATGGCACCCTTATGACTATATTATGAATTTTAGAGAGCCAGCATGATGCAGTGAATTAAGCATTAGGCTATGGCTGAAAATCAGGTTATGAATCTTGACAATGGAAACTCATTGGCTGCCTTTGGACAAGCCATACTGGGTCAGAGGAGGTCCGGACAACCCCCCTCTGAATCAGTCTTGCCAAGAAAACCACTACTATGAGAAGAAGTTATGTGCAACGCATTACATCTAAGCACTGGCCGGCCTACAACTCCTATTCTACCTCATACAATACAGAGATTGGCCACTGGGCATGATGTGATGGTTACCAATGGATAGGAAATGTTGGATGGATCCCAAATAAAATGTCCATGAATGAGGTATGGAATCTCCACACTAAGTGGTGTGTGTGTATGTGTCTATCTATCTAGACATGTTTGCTTACTTACTTAGGCGATCCCTTGTAGCTCAAGGATGATGGTCCTCCAAGTGATGTGTCTTGATGGTGGGTATGTAAGTGACTGTGGAGCCCTACTCTTGATCCACATCTTCTCCCGCAGTGAGGGCATCAGTTTCCCTCTGGAAGACTGTCCCAGTCTGGGTTGGCTTGATACACTTTCCTCTTGACACATTTCTCTCTTTCACCTTCCCTTCGTGCCTCTTCAAATTCTGCAGCACTGCTGGTCACAGCTGACCTTCATCTAGAGCGATCATTAGCCAGGGCTTCCCAGTTCTCAGTGTCTATGTCAGAGATTTGAAGGTTGGCTTTGAACCCATCTTTAAATCTCTTTTCCTGTCCACCAATATTCCATTTTCCGTTCCTGAGTTCGGAGTAGAGCAACTGCTTTGGGAGACAGTGATCAAGACATTCAAACAATGTGGCTGGTCCAGCGGAGCTGATGGCAGAGGACCATTGCTTCAATGCTGGTGGTCATGGGAGCTAAAATGGTGCCAAAGTGCATTAATTCTACTGTGTAGATGTAGGAGTTCCCTCTGCTCCTAATTATTTCTCATCCCTTCGTTTACAGTAATGAACTGATTCAAGAAAGGTCTTAGATTCCAGAGTAATGATCAGATTTTAAATTGTTTTGGTTTCTTACCAGTGTAAGGGATTTTTAACACTAACCAACTTGAGTTGCATCACTAAACTGTGAAAAATATATGACACTACATTTCTTGATCTGTTCCACTGACACTTGCTTTGACCCCATTCCCTGTGATCCATTTGAACAATCAATATCACGAGACTCACCTTCTTCCCAGCTCAGGGAAATTCTGGATTGATCGTGTTATTCCTGAAGCAGGGGTTGTTGTCTCCTAAGAGAGGAAAGAATTGATCCTTTACTCACCAATCATGAATATTTAGAGTGGCCGACCTGTCTCCCTGCTATGCTGTCAAACAAGGGTTGCCTGTTAACTGGGATGAAGAAGACATCTCAGCTGTCT